TGATTTTTTGAAGGCTTTTTTTGTGGTCTCTCCTTCAGTTCTTGCTCTGATCTTAGTTTCTTGTCTTTGCTAGCTTTCAGATTTGTTTGCTCTTGCTCTGCTAGTCCTTCATTGTGATTTTAGGTTGCATTTTAGATCTTTCCTGCTTTCTCTTGTGGCCCAAAAAAATTTATTTTATAAATTTCCCCTCTACACAATGCTTTGTAATGTTCCCCAGAGATTCTGGTATGTTGATCTTTTTCTCATTTGGGTTCAAAGAACATCTTTATTTCTGCCTTCATTTCGTTTATACCAGTTAATCATTCAGGAGGCAGGTGTTTTCAGTTTTCCATGGGTAGTTTGAGCGGTTTTTGATTGAGTTTTCTTAATCCTGGTTCCAGTTTGATTGCCACTGTGGTCTGAGAGACAGTTGTTATAATTCTGTTCTTGTACATTTGCTGGAGAGTGCTTACTTCCAAGTATTCGGGGGAATTTTGGAATAAGGTGCGATGTGTGCTGAGAAGGGGAATGTAATTCTGTTGATTTGGTGGGAAGTTCTGTACGATGTCTATCGGTCCGCTGTTGGTGCAGGAGCTGAGTTCCAATCCCTGGATATCCTTTTAACTTTCTGTCTCGTTGATCTGTCTAATGTTGGACAGTTGGGGTATTAAAAAGTCTTCCATTTTTATTGTGGGATGTCTAAATCTCTTTGTAAGTCTCTAAAGAACCTTGCCTTATGAATCTGGCTCCTATGGGTGATATATATTAGGATAGTAGGTCTCTTATTGAATTGATCCTTTACCATTATGTTAATGGCCTCTTTGGTCTCTTTTGATCCTTGAATGGTTAAAGTCTGTTTACCCGGAGACTAGGATTTGCAACCCCTGCCTTTTATTTGTTTTTCTATTTGCCTTGGTTTAGGTCTTCCTCCCATCCCTTTTGTTTTGAGCCTTTTGTGGTGTCTTCTGCAGGTGAAATGGTCTCCTGAATAAGCACAACTGGATGTCTTTGCTCCTTATCAATTGCCCATTCTGTTTCTTTAATTGAGCATTTTAGCTTCGATGTATATTTTAAGGTTCATATTGTTACATGTGAAAACTGATCCTGTCATTATGATGTTGCTGGTTATTTCACATGTTAGTTGATTGCAGTTTTCCATAGCAGTCGATGGACCTTATATTTTTGGCATGGGTTTTGCAGTGGCTGGATCGGTGTTCCTTTCCAAGTTTTAGTGCTTCCTTCAAGGAGCTCTTGTAGGCAGGCCTGGATGGTGGCAACATCTCTCAGATTTGCTTGTTTCTGTAAAGATTTCTATTTCTCTTGACTTATTGAAATTTATTTGACTGGATATTGATTCTGGGTTGAAAATCTTTTCTTAAGGAATGTTGAATATCGCCACCTTCTCTTCTGGCTTTGTAGAGGTTCCTGCCGAGAGATCTGGCTGTTAAGTCCGACGGGCTTCCCCTTGTGGATAACCCGACCTTTCTCTCTGGCTGGCCCTTAACATTTTTTCCTTCATTCAACTTTAGGTGGAATCTGACAATTATTGTGTCTGGAAGTTGGCTCTTCTCAAGGAGTATTCTTTTGTGTTGTTCTCTGTATTTCCTGATTTGAATGTTTGGCTGCCTTGCTAGGTTGAGGAAGTTTCTCCTGGATAATATTCCTGCAGAGTGTTTTTCAGCAAGGTTCCATCTCCTGTCACTTTCAGGGTACCACCAGTCCATACGTAAATTTGGGTCTGTTCACATAGTTCCCATGTTTCTTGGAGCTTGTTTCTTTTTTCTCCTTCCTTTCTCTAAAACTTTCTTCTTCACTTCATTTCATTAAATTGATCTTCAATCACTGATACGGTTTCTTCCACCTTGAATGAATCTGTACTTGAAGTGTGCATGTGTCATGGTATTCCTCATGCCATGGCTCTTTCAGCTTCCATTGGGTCATTTAGGGTCTTCTCTCCACTGTTTATTCTAGGTTAGCCATTTATCTAATCATTTCAGGTTTTTAGCTTCCTCACAATGGTTCGAACATCCTCCTGTTTAACCCTCGGAGAAGTTTTTATTACCGATTTTCTGAAGGCCTACTTCTGTCACCTTGTCAAAAGTTCAATTCTCCGTCCTGCTTTGTTCGTTGGCTGCCAAGGGGAACTGTGATTCCTTTGGAGTAGAAGAGCGGCTCTGTGTTTTAGGGAATTTTTCAGGCTTTCTGCCTGGTTTATTCCCGTCTTTGTGGTTTTTCTACTTTCGTCTTGATGCTGGTGACCTACAGGATGGGTTTTGGTATGGTTGTCTTTTTGTGATACTGATGCTATTCCTTTCTGTTTGTTATAAAAACTATTTAAAAAGTTCAAATGGAACCAAAAAGGAAGCCTTGAATAGCCATGATAGGTTGGTAAGCAAAAAAGAACAAAGGCTGGAGGGCACACCACTACCGACTTCGAAACTATGACTATAAGCTACAGTATCAAAACCAAACCATGGTTACTGTCAAAAACAAACACATAGAGGACCATGAAACAGAATTAGAGAACTGGAAATGAGGACTGCACACCTACAACCATCTGATCTTGGACAACTTGACCAACAACAAGCAATATGGAAAGGGACTCCTCTAATAAATGGGCTGGAGTGGCTTGCTAGCTGTACGCAGAAAAATGGAAAACTGTACCCCTTCCTTACACCATATGCAGAGTTAACTCCAAAGATGGATTTAGAGACTAAAATGAAAACCCCAACTATAAAACACCTAGAGAAAATTTAGGCAATACCATTTTCAGGACATTGGCGATGGGGCAAAGTTTCATGACGGAGGATGCCAAAGTAACTGCAACAAAAGGCCAAAAATTGACAAAAAATGGGATTCTAATTAAACTTAAGGAGCTTCTGCACCAGCCAAAGAAGACTAATCATTCAGAATGGAACAGACAGTCACAGTCTACAACATGGGAGAAAAATTTTGCAAATTAACCATCTGACAAAGGTCTAATATCCAGAGTCTATAAGGAACTTAACCAAATTTACAAGATAACCCCATTAAAACGTGGGCCAAAGACACAGACAGACGTTTCTCAAAAGAAGCATACACGTAGTCACGTAGTTCTCGTGCCATGGTTTTTGCTCTATCGGGTCACTTAAGGACTTGCCTACATTGGTTATTCTAGTTATCCATTTGTCTAATCTTTTTTCAACATTTTCAGCTTCTTTGCGATGGGTTCAAACTTCCTTCTTTAGCTCGGAGAAGTTTGATCGTCTGAAGCCTTCTCACTACTCCTCAAAGTCATTCTCCATCCAGCTTTGTTCTGTGGCTGGTGAGGAGCTGTGTTCCTTTGGAGGGGGAGAGGTGCTCTGATTTTTAGAGTTTTCAGCTTTTCTGCTCTGTTTTTTCCGTATCTTGTGGTTTTATCTACCTTTGGTTTTTGATGATGGTGATGTACAGATGGGGTTTTGGTGTGGATGTCCTTTCTTTTCATTAATTTTCTTTCTAACAGTCAGGACCCTCAGCTGCAGGTCTGTTGGAGTTTGCTCTAGATCCACTCCAGACCCTGTTTGCCCGGTATCAACAGTGGAGGCTGCAGAAGAGTGAATATTGCTGAACAGCAAATGTTGCTGCCTGATCATTCCTCTGGAAGTTTTGTCTCAGAGGGGTACCTCGCCGTGAGGTGTCAGTCTGCCCCTATTGGGGGTGCCTCCCAGTTAGGCTACTCGGGGGTCAGGGACCCACTTCCGGAGGCAGTCTGTCCATTTGCATATCTCAAACTCTGTGCTGGGAGAATCACTGGTCTCTTCAAAGCTGTCAGACAGGGACATTTAAATCTGCAGAGGTTTCTGCTGCCTTTTGTTTGGCTATGCCCTGTCCCCAGAGGTGGAGTCTACAGCGGCAGGCAGGCCTCCTTGAGCTGAGGTGGGCTCCACCCAGTTTGACCTTCTCAGCCATCTTGTTTACCTACTCAAGCCTCAGCGATGGCGGGCGCCCCTCCCCCAGACTTGCTATTGCCTTGCAGTTAGATCTGACTGCTGTGCTAGCAATGAGGAAGGCCCCATGGGTGCGGGACCCTCTGAGTCAGGAGTGGGACATAATCTCCTGGGTTGCCGTTTGCTAAGATCCTTGGAAAAGCACAGTATTAGGGCAGGTGTGACCCAATTTTCCAGGTGCTGTGTGTCATGGTTTCCCTTGGCTAGGAAAGGGAATTCCCTTAACCCTTGTGCTTCCTGGGTGAGGTGATGCCTCGCCCTCCTTTAGCTCTCGCTCCGAGGGCTGCACCCACTGTCCTGCACCCACTGTCCAACACGCCCCAGGGAGATGAACCTGGTACCTCAGTTGGAAATGCAGAAATCACCCATCTTGTGTCATTCACGCTGGGAGCTGTAGCTTGGAGCTGTTCCCATTCGGCCATCTTGGAACCTCCCCTATTAATACATTTCTATTCTATGAATTTGGAGGTAATAAGTCATAGTGATCAGAATTGAAACCTGGATCCACCAATTAATGTTGGGTATGTTACTTAATCTGTTTTCACCTCAGTTTCCTCATTTTTAAAATATGTACACTAGTAGTATCTAATTCATAAGAATGTTGTGAAGACTAAATAATCTATGTAGAACTCACTATGTAAGGTAATCTGATTATCTGTCGGTATTATTGTTATTTTCACTAAAAAGAGGCTGTAGTACTTAGGAGTGTAGAGGATGGAGCTGGACCAGGTGGTTTCACACCCTGCTCTGCTGCTTACTATTTGTGAAAATCTGGGTAGCTTCGTTAGCTTCTCTATGCCTCAGTTTTGTCATCTAAAAAATAGGGATACCAGGAATAACAAATAAGATTATTATGAGGATTAAATGAGTTATTATAAGGAAAGCAATAACTGAAGAGTACTACAAAATCCATAAATGTTAGCTATGATAAGAGCCATTATTATTAATCAGCTAATTTGAAGTCCTATGGGCTGAAACTGTGGCAATCCCTAACATACAAAGAGGAGCAATTCCATTTTTTAAACTAAAATAAAATCAAAATTATGTTCTAACCTCAGTATGCAGATTTTCTGGAGAAATGATTTTGGTGAAAATGATAGCCGGTGCTCCAGTTATTCGGACAGAAAAATCTGTCAAAATGGGAGTCAAAATTGCTCTCCTTTCTTGATGCCGCCGTATGCTAAAAGATAGAGTGAAAGATTATTAGTCATTTCACTTTTTTCAAAGATAATTTTCATTAAATTTGTCCAAGTCTTTGTACTACAGACATGTATGGCAAAATTACATTATTATTTTGAGAGTGCCTATTTGCATATTTTACAGTCATCGTTTCTTAACTTCAATTCCATAAGATTTGTAGAAGATGATAACATCTTGAGAAATGCAGATGTAATTAAGCAATTTCATATTAGTATCATCCCAGAGCTTTTTAACAAATTAATTTTTAAATGTTTACTTCTTGTTCTTGCAAATAGTTTCATATCACTTTTGTTACCAACAATCTTACTATTGTTTAGAATAATTTTTAATTTCCTATTTTTAATATCTGACCTTCTATTTGATAACTGCTGTCGTTCTGACCTCATTAGGGTCATGAGCATATCCTTTTAATCTTTTAATTCTTTTCTTTTTAAGGTCTAAGAACAATATTAATTCATTTTTTTTTAAGACAAGGTCTTGCTCTGTCACCTAGGCTAGAGTGCAGTGGTGCGATCATGGCTCACTTTAGCCTCAATCTCCTGGGCTCAAGTGATTCTCCCACCTTGGCCTCCTGAGTAGCTGGGACCACAGGAATGTACCACCACGCCTGGCTAATTTATTTTTGTTTTTTGTAGAGACAGAGTCTCCTCATGTTGCCCAGGCTGGTCTTGAACTTCTAGGCTCAAACAATTCTCTTGCCTAGGACCCTCAAAGTGCTGGGTTTACAAGTGTTGAGTCACCATGCCCAGTTCTTAAGGTTTTTGTGTGAGATATTAAATGCTTCCTGAAAACAATCCTGTATGTGAAGTAGGGACTGTTAATAGTCCCATTATTATCTGTAAGGAAATGAAGTTCAAGTACTGGGCTAAGGCTACACAATGAGAACGAAGGTTCCAGAATTGGACCTGGAGGGCAAGTTGACACCAAAACAGATTTTGGCCTCTATTTTAGTTCTTCTTTATATATTCCCAGCTTTGATCAGTCATTTAGCAGAATATTTTTATCTGACATTTAAAATTATTAATAATTTCAAAGGAAGTACATGGTAAAAGATGAAATTGGAAAACATTATTGAGAAAGCAAAAGTGGGCTGGTACAGATCTTCAAGTCCACTATGTATATGCTTACTTTTTATTTTATCAACTAATATACATTTATGTTTTGTTAGCAAGCTATACCTCAAATTTTGCTTCAAGCTATTAACTTAATATTCCTTTTAAATATGCCCTTATTAGTCCCTTATATCATAAACTGATAAAGTTGAAATCAGAGAATTGGCATAAATTATCTCATGAAAAAGCCTGGTTAAAATTCAAGTCTTTCTACACCATTTTCTCTTTTTATCAGAGTAGTCCAGAGAGTACTCTGGTCTTTTGTTAAACTTGCAATGAGCAGAGTTCTATATGGTGTCTGCCAAAAAAGCAAATTGGATCATCTGGTTCTATGACACATAAGTATTGGATTTCAAGAAAGTCAATTTTAAAGAATTAAGAGATCTGGCGAGTAGAGAGTAACACGAGGAAGTATTAAAATCTGTGACTATAGAGGAAGGATTGAGATCCTGAGAGACACCATAATTATAGCCTAATAGCTCAAATTCCATAAAATGACCAATGTGAGAAACATGTAACATCTGATGTGCTCTCATAGGGGAGTGCTAAAATATATGATGTATTAAAAATAACTTAAAATGGAAAAGTTGGCAGGGAACCAAATAAGAGCAAACATTAATGACCAAGGGCAATGAAAAAAAAGGTACTTGTCCATATTATACATTTTTCTCCATAATGTGATAAATTAAATCAGTGACACAAAATATGAAAGCCCTGTGACCTTAGAAGTAATAACAAAATATAAATGTCAATAGTCTTATAAAACTATAATTTTTCTGGTATATAGTATTAACTTTTATGATATCTCTGGTAAATATTTGAGGTAATGGTAAATATTTAAAAAAATCATTAAAAACCTTTACAGATTCAAATATTTTCAGGAATAAATTCAAAAGAAAAACAAAAAAGAAATACTAAATAACTACAATGAAGAATTAAATTCTGGCAATATTTTACTATATAACAGTTCAAGTTTCAAAATTCAAAAGAAGGAACTAAAACACAAAGTATTAACTAAGGTTGTTAATGACCTTAGGGTCATTAAATTGAGAGGGTCAGCACTCTTAATGAATCAAGGGAATAGAGTTTTAACAGCTATTTGAGATAAGACAAGGATTTTTAAATGAGCTGCCTACCTAGATCTGGGGCCCCTGAAGTTCCAGAAAAACATCACACCATCAGAAACCGGAAAGAATAAGAAAGTTTGCCTGTCTTGGCAAGAGAACTTGTTGAAAAAACAAATATCGCCCTGGAAAATTAAAAATAATGGGAAATATCCCATGTGTATTAAGTGGCTCTAACTTATATTACCTGGGTGGTCCTCAAATACCCATTCTGTTATTTATATAGCAGTAGCATCAGGACTTTGATAACCCTGGGGCATCTGTCAGAAACAGATGGAAAACCTCCCTATAAAACATGTCCTCAATGACAAAAAGGATACTCAAGGGAAAAAGATCGTTGAAGATAAGCTCCTAATACAAACCATTTTATATACCAAAAAAAAAGAACTTTATTAGCAAGAGGAAAATTAGATCCTGTTTTCAAACGCATTATCAAGAACTTTTGATAATAAAATTTTGATAATAAATTAAATAAAAATTTTGCTTAAAATTACTAAAGACATATAGAATTAAAAAACATAAGAAAAAAAGCAAGGCACTATTAAAAAGTGCAAATCAGGTTTGAAAAAACAACCAAAGAGAATTTCCAAAAATAAAAAATACAGTTACTAAAGTTAAAGACATAATAGGTGGGATAAATAGCATTTAGATATAGCTTAAGAAATAATTAGTAAACTAGAAATAGATTTGAGAAAATTCCAGAATTTACTAAAATAAATTTTTAAATGAAAAGTTTAAAAGGAAAATGAAGAGACATGGAGAGATGAGTCCAACATATATAACTAGAATTCCAAAATGAGAGAACAGAAAGAAAGGAAAAGAGAAAATACTAAAGAAAACATGGCTGATGATTTTCCCAGAAATTATGAAACATAAGAATTCATAGACTCAGGAAGCACAATGTGTCCTGGTTCAGACAAATACAAGGAAATCCACAAATATACATATCTCGATGAAACTGCTGATCACCCATGATGACGAAAAGATACTAAAGTCAGCTGAAGAAAACAGATTACACCATTCCAAGGCACACAGGGTTAGAGGAGCTGTGGAATCAATATTTCGCTGATGTACTCCAATATAACAATGATTTAATATATGTCTATATTGTCCATATAAACAAAGAAATGGTATAATTATCTGTACCTATCATGTAATATAGAGGATTATATCCATAGAAATTTATTAAACCCTCGTTGAAAATAACAAAACATTGACTATTGTAAGGTTCTAAGCAAATAACAGAAAAATAATCATGTGAGTTGGCAAAAGTTCTTCTACTAAGCTTTGGGAGGTATAGATTGTAAACAAAAAAAAAGTATAGTTCTCTGAAATTGTTACTAAGCAAGAAGGCACAGGTGTATGCCAGATGCACTCAAGAAAACACATGTGTCAGAAAAGCTGTGGTCATCTTTCTTGGACTCAGAATATTTACACTAAGGTTCTTCTGCCCATCTGTCATACATTTTGGTATGCCTTTGTGGGAAATATGAAAGGAGTTTAAGAACCACACTTCAAAAACTGCGTATTATCAAAGACCAGAAGTAGGAAAAGTGGTACCAAGGTTCCCAAGATATTCCACCAAAAAAATCAGAATAAGAAATGCTAGATGGTCTGTGTGCACAGAGCAATTCTTTTTTTTTTTTTTTTCTTCCTCCTGTATGTGAGAAAGGGTCTCCTTCTGTCGCCCAGGCTAGAGTGAAGTGGCATGATCTTGGCTCACTGTAACCTCTGCCTCCTGGGCTCAAGTCATCCCAGTACCTCAGCCTCCTAAGTAGCTAGGGCTACAAGTGTGTGACTCCACATCTGGCTAATTTTTGTATTTTTTGTAGGGACGGGGTTTCACCATGTTGCCCAGGCTGGTGCACACAGCAATTCTTATGCAACATAAAGATTTTCTTAGTATGGCATTATGGCTGAACTTTAGATGGAAGACACTAGAGCAGAAGATACTTAAAACTTGTGGTAATCACCTGAGACCATCTCTTACAGTAGTTATTCCTAAATATGAAAATAGTAATATTCACAAACATTTATTATAAATAATCTGCTACCTGGAAAACTATGTGTTACATAAACCTATTCCTTGATATTCTTCTATTTATATTAATGGGAGGCATAAAGATAAATAATTTAAATCCTATAGGAACTTAAAAAATGAAATAGTTGGCGAGGCACGGTGACTCACGCCTGTAATACTAGCACTTTGGGAGGCCGAGGTGGGCGGATCACCTGAGGTCTGGAGTTCAAGATCAGTCTGGCCAACATGGAAAAACCACACCTCTACAAAAAATACAAAAATTAGCCAGGCGTGGTGGCGCAGGCCTGTAGTCCCAGCTACTTCGGAGGCTGAGGCAAGAGAATCGCTTGAACCCGGGAGGCAGAGGCTGCAGTAAGCCGAGATTGTACCACTGCACTCCAGCCTGGGTGACAGAGCAAGACTCCGTCTCAAAATAAAAACAAAAAAAAAAAAAAAGGAAAAAAAGAAATAGTTATTGGTATATATCCATTTAGAGGCTTTTTTTCCAACAGGAGCACTATCCCATGGCTTTCAAATGCAATTAAAATAAAATTCAAACTCCCTCTGACTTACACAACCATTCATTATTTAGCCCTTCTCTCCCTAAAACTCATCTGCTATTACTTCTTTCCTCCCAGCCAGGCATGATCCCTTAAACGTGCTCAACTTGTTCCTACTCCAGTGTCTTTGCTCTTCCTGAAACACTCTCAGCAGAAACACTCTA